AGGGCGGGGCGGGAACGTAGGCGGAGGCTGCGTGAGGGCGGAAACTGCGGGGGTGGGGCGAGAACGGACCGAGGGCACGTGGGCAGATACTTCAGGTGCGCAGATGCCAGACAGTCTCCGACCCAGACACCTATGCAAATTAGGTAATCGACATCGAATTCACGCTACAGCCATTTCCATGCATTTAAATGGATATTTTTATTCGAATTTGAATATAGCAGAAGACATGGAAAACGAACAAAGGGGTTGATCTGTATCACGACCGAACTTCTGTCGCGAGAAATTTTTAATAAGTTATTATGGCTACTCTGCACAGATGGCCCAAAAATGAGAAGCTTTTTAATGAGCAATATTATACAGTGTGTATTACTGGATAGTAGCAATATATACCTAGGAACTTAAAGTGACATCAAAAGAAAAATCATATAAAGTACTTAATGCCATTATTCGCAAATCTCTTATTTCCTAATTTTTATGTGCATGATATGATAATTTCAAGGTATAAAGCACCCTAAGTATTACATAAATTGCCATATTAACAACTACGACGCTCCTAAAAAACAATCGTAAATATAAATAGAAAATTAAAATGGCATCGTATTCGTAGTAGATAAAAGTTTGAAAAAATAGATACGCATCATTTTTACAACATTATGCAGAAGCTTCGCGTTGCACAAGCGTATCGCTTTTGGTTCATTATGATGTTCAGGTCAAACTCGTTTCATTAATTAATATTACCTACCAAGGTGCAATTTACCTTTATTAGCGCACGTGTGTGAATGTTTTCATCAATTTCATTACAGCATGCCAGTTTAAATAAGTTGTTTACCAGAACATGTTTGTAAACATAAAAAAACAGTTGTTCAAACCACATACCACCAACATTTCACGCAGCTGTAGCTATATTGATTTTATTTAACTTGGTTCAGCTCTTATCATCACGTTGAAATAGGTCGTTTGATTCTACAATCACAAATACATTGATGGACGAAACGCAGGGAAAGTGGAAATAAACTCACGAAATCGCCATCACGGGCTGCTTTAAATGTTGGTAGGCTGGTTAGTGCACTAAACGACGCCCCCTACCCTCCGTCATGAATTCTTCCCTTTTATATTAAAAGCATGTGATATATATTTGTCATATCCAACCCTCTGATCTCACCGCAGCAGTCCTTAGGCCCATTGGGAACGGTACACACTTTCTGCCTGCAGCCTATCAGCTTTTAGTGTAATTTAAAATCAGCTGCGGTTTGGTAGGTACGGTGCGAAGAGACGGCCATCAAGTTGTAATTCGCTGACCCCTTGAAGCGCACACATTCCATCTTATCCGCCGATAATTTATACGACCCTGTATACACCTAGGTATTCTTCGGTCAGAGGAAAGGGGAAGGAACGTTTGGAAAAGCCTTAACCTTCCCACAGCACACAAGCATCCACCCATCCCCGAGGCGGGATTCGAACCTGCACAACTCGCAGCTGGTGACTATTGTAATAACCGCTACAGGATCAGGCCAAACTCAAGATGTCTACAGTGGAAACATTTTCTCCCTCTATTTGCGGAGGGGAGCCAACGAGATAGCCAACAACAACGCACGTACGCAGCATTCACCCCGTGGCCCGAACCGCACTGAGAGAAATACTCGTATGCACAGAACAGATTCCTGTATGCTCTGCAGGAGTAGTAGTGGAAAACGACCTAGACAGCTATTCAGTTTGCTTTAGCTTCTTGGACGTTTATAGCATACCTTCACGTTCGATTCACTTAATCGGGAATAAGTTCAATGTAATATTTCACTGCTTCCATCACACAGATTCATTTCAACTGTGCTAACATAGTTTGAAGATTGAAATACCTTTTCGCACCCTCATCTCTAAAACTCAATTTCAAAGATCATTAAAGCTCCACTTTTGCTGCCTAGGTCCTAAACGTTTAGCGCCTAGGCTTTGAAACATAGGTGCAATTCCAACAAAATACAGAAACACTAAATGAAACGAAATACTTCTTTCGATAGTTTTGTATAAAAACACCATTGAAAATAATTAAATAACCTATAACTAAAAAATAGTTTTGAAATTTAATACTGAAAACACAATCCGTAACATTAATAAAAGAAACTCCGGGAACAGAATCTAAGTTTGTTGCCCTATTGGAATTGGGCCTTTAGTCTTGGTGGAAATTTTGAGTTCACCTTCACCTGTTTCGTTTTGCAATCAAATGAATATCACACATTATGAGAAACATTATAAGTAACATTATGTTACAAGGGGGGATGAGGGTACGAAAAAGTATTGCATGCACCTATCTGCCAAGAAGATAATTTTTTAACGGGTTTCCCTCCCTCCGAGCTATTTCAGAGCGGCCTTGCTGTGTCAACTGCTTCTTTGTCAGCTCGGGTTCCGCTAATCAACGGCCGCGGCGCCGGAGGGGCGTGGTCGCAGCCGGGAGGCGCATTTCGCGGAAGGGCGGGGTTCGCTTCCCCGCGCCTTCGCTTCCACGACTCGCAGCTGCACGTGACGCGCCACACCGCCACCGCCGCGCAAACCACATGCGCGCAGCGCAACGCTCGGCGCGCAGGGAGGGCCTGTCTTTCTTCAACGCACTCATCCGGTACACCTCCAGCGTTGGGAGAATCCGAGAACGCGTGCCTTCAAGCCAAACGATTAAATTATTCCTTCACGATCTCCTATGAGATCATGAAGAAACCCACGGAGAGCGCGAATGAAATGAATTTCCCAAGGAAAGTGGTTTGAAAAGTTATCATTATCTCTTCAGCAGAAAATTAATATTTCAAAATGAAGATTTTGAGAACAAGTAGTCAAAAGGCACCTGATAAACGAAGAAAATGATTTTAGCAGATTCATTCTGAATTCAGGAAACTCCGCTTTGTTATTTGGCCATCACACCAAGGATTTTCGTCGGCGGGAAAGCATTTACCACCAAGGAGCATGATAAAATATTGAAAATATTCCAAGAAATTTGGAGTTAAAATGTGCTTGTTTCTTGTGTTCCAAATTTAAATTGCAAAGTGATGTTTTATTTTGAACAAGTAATCATTCAACAGGTTGGTTAAAGAAGAGACTGATTTGTAGCTGCTTCGTTCTGAATTCACGAAGGGCGCGACGCAATGCTGTTGTTATGAAGACATAGGGGAAGGAGTATGAAAACCGGGAGGAAGGTGAAGTTAGGGTTGATTGCGAGTAGCAGTTTATTCAGTGCCCTTGTTGCACCAACAACGATACATAACCTACAGCGGCTACGCAACCCAGCACTCACTTGGCCAACACCATGCGGAGGGTGGGGAGGAGGTGGCAGAGAGAGGCGGCGAAGGCAGATAGAAATGCGACAGGTCGCTGCGTGGTGCCGAATAGCGTTGATTCACACCTTGGACAACCGGAGGGCAACCGTAGAGAGGGCGCTGAGGAACACTACTTTGTTCTCGAAAAGCAGAAAACGACCGCCATTTGTGCGGCTGCGTGCGCAGTTTATATATCGCCGGACCAGTCCATCCCTGCGTCAGCGCACAGGGGTGCGAGGTGTACGTGGCCAACCGGACCATTTCCAACGATAGACATACCAACGCGGGACCGGGCGGGGGCGCAAGACCACCTGGCGCACACCACACTACAACACAGCGTTAGCCGATCACTCGACAGATTCATCCCGTTATTAATTTTTCACGTGCGCCTCTCCTCAACCCCAAATCTCGCCTGCGCCAAGCGAGCGCACCACGGCCGACCGCACGCACTAGCTGATCCTATTCAGGCGAGAGCGCTTCTCTTGCCGCAGCGGGCGGGCGGCCGGCGCCAGGGCGCGCCGCGGTACCACACGAGAGAGCGGGGCGGCGGGCGGCGGCAGCGTTTGACCTTCCACTGGCGTCGCCGCGCGCGCTGCGGTCGCCAGCGGATGCGGCACCGAGGGTCGGAGGCGCAGGTGACAGCAGGTCCCACCCGCCACAGCAGCGCCGGCCCGCCGAAAAACGATGACACAATGAAAGCATTACACTCCGCTTTACAAAAAGGACGGGGGGACTTGCTTTCGGAATTACCACGAGGTGAGCTTATGGATTTTATCCACTGTGTTTCAGTTTGTATAAAAATATATTTTAATTCAACTACTAGTACGGTAGAAAGCAGTATACGGATTTGGCAAAATGGGTAGGAAAAATACTCTATTGTGAGGACTCTGAGATACAATGCATGTTGTTTTGAACAAAAAAATGCAATGATGAGGGAAGGGTAAACACGAGATTTCACATATTTACCACGTGTGATTACATGTAAAATAACTTCATGTACTTTCAGAATGAACGTCGGTTTTCGGAACTTCTTGTTTATGTGTATTTAGAGAGTGTGAAATAAAAAACTTGTACAATACAACTTAAAAAATTCGAACTCTCGTAATTAGAATTCTTAATTAATTCGAAGAATTGGGTCGGCATACTTAACTACTAATCTAACTAATTTTCAAAAATCGTGGATAATTCGAAGTTTACCTTCCTGAATTTGACAGGCTTCCTCAAAATTTGGCAGGCTTCCTCAAGAAAATGGATCAAATTGAATTCTCAGAGGAATTTTACCTGACGCAGGAGATGATGGTATTTGTGTGACATTTGAAGAATTCTTTACGGCTGGAAAAAATCGTAGAAGTGTGTGGCGAGCTTTATTATCTAGGCATTTCACAGAAGGGTTGGGTAATAAAATTCAGACATATCTGATTTAACGGAAGGAGGTGATGGAAAGGAGCAAGGTGAAGCAGAAGCACCTACCCCTACATTGCAGGAGGTGCTTCATCACGCGTGAAATTGAAGGACAAACCAATGCAAAGCTATTTTCTCATTCACTAACCTTATTTGTATAAATATGTACATACTGTATTTCGTAAGTACGTCACTTAAAACATTTCTCAATAAATATTTACTTCTTTGAAGCGACAATGTCAGGTATTTATTGAACCAAAATACAACCAAAAGGAAGTAATTTCTCTGATTAACGATTATACTCTTCAAGTTTCTTGAGACAAACTGCACGTTTATTCATTAGAACACGTCTCCATCCAAGATGTGTGAAATGCACACGCATCTAGATCGAAAGAGAGAATGATCTAGGCCTGGAGGAGGAACGTCTGAAGAGGGAACGCAGGGGGGGGGGTCGAGTTCCGTATTAGGCCGCGCCCGCCTGCCCTCGTGACATCACTTCCGGCGACGGCTGTCTGCTCCCTGGCGACGAGCCCCGCGCTCGCAGCGGCCAACGTGCGGCGGCGCCCCCAGCGCCGACCTGTATAAGGCAGCTGCGCCCGCACGGCGCTGCAAGGTCGCTGGCGAAGAGCGAAAAACTGGGCCGCCGGCTAAGGAAAGGGACGCTCAGAACACCACCCCAGTGACGTTACAGCTACGGACTCTCGCTGGAGAAACCCATCTTGTCAACATTCAAAGGAAAGGTTATTAATACTTCCACACAAACAATTCACAGAGGTTATATAATAAAATCTTTTTCACAAAAATAAACGATGCAGAAATTGAAACTAGTATTCCTTCAACAGCATGTTTTCTCTATTATTGGAATCGGTAACGTGGTATTATAATATTGCAACTTCAAATCTGGTAACTCTTCAGCACTCACAAGAAAAAAGTCCTAAAAAAAGTAGTGTCAAAGCGTCGAAAAAATACAAATCTTTAAGTTTTTGAAAATTCAATAGTTTAAAATAAAAATGGTTCTCTGCCATTGATAGGAATGTGTTTTGCTGTTTTATCGCAAAAAAGTTTAAATAGAAACGCGAAAACAACTCATATTTTCGAAAACATTTAAATTTCGGCTATATATAAAGGTCTTTAAAGGAGGATTTTATTAAAAATCTCCATTCTTAATAATGCAACTGTAGGAAAATTTCGAAAAAATTGGTTTTCTGCAAAGTTTAACAAAAATGAGCTGTGAGTCATTTCTTAAGCATCGTACTCGAAACAAAAAAATATCCAAAATTTTCTGTCATTTTTAAAGATATGTTTTAATATGTTGTTAAGGCTTTATGTAAAATAACCCCAGAAATCAAAATTTCCGTTTACTACTCACAAGGAATTGAGTTCGGCAAGATCAATGACGGAATATCAATTTTGGAGAAAATGTTCTGAACGGTTAGGACTAGTGTTAATTACAGAAGGACGGACGGACAACGGGTGTTTTAACGTCAATCAATTTTTAGTGGATTTTGACCACACAACGTGTTAGGGAAAGTAATTTACTACTTGTAGGAATAAGATTTATCCACTTTTCAAAATGAGCCCATAATAAAGGATTTTTTTCAGTCTTAATCGTCAATTTTTGGCCGCAGTGTTACAATACTTCCTATTGCAGCAAATTATAATTATTATTCTGCAGAAGCAAAGAAAGGACTACCTTATCATTCGCACAAAGTTATCGCTGGGAAACTGACTGAAAACCACGTTCAGATAGAAGTTAGCACTCATAATCAATTCACTTGGAAGACATCGGGGAGTCCCCCATTTGAATTGTACGTATTTGTATGAAGTACCTACTATGAAAACAATTTTCGACAGTTTCGAGAACTCTGACACTATTTCTATTATCATGGACGTACTTTAAATTAAGACGCATTTCCTTGAGTAAAACAGGACGAATGTATAAAACGGTGACGATAGATTGATACACGAAAGAAAAGAAGAAACAATGTTTTCCTCTGGAAATTTATCGATGGAATTTCTCGGCAGATTTCCTCCAAATTCGCATCGCTATTACTCCTCACTGACGCGACGGGTTCTGAAGGAGATCCCGCAATCAATAATATTTGGGCGGATTACGGGGCAGCTTTTATCTGCAGATACAAAACGAAAACCGCTAAACGAGAATTGAATGAAGACGTATAACCCTGCACTTCGTCGGGAGAAAATCGCCCGCGGACTCACAAATTCCGGGAAGAAACACACAGCGTCAGGGCGTAACAGATGGGCTCGTAAACGAACGCCGGCGGAACGCGAGGTGCATCGGACGCCGTTGCTGCAGCGAAGGCGGCGGCTGGTGGCGGTGACGACCATACAAGCGGTGACAATGCAAGCGGTGACGACGATGCAATCGGTGACGACGATGAAAGTGACGACGACGATGAAAGTGACGACGACGATGAAAGTGACGACGACGATGAAAGTGACGACGACCCTGGAAGCGGTGACGACCATGCAAGCGGTGACGACCATGCAAGCGGTGACGACCATGCAAACGGTGACGACCATGCAAGCGGTGACGACCATGCAAGCGGTGACGACCATGCAAGCGGTGACGACCATGCAGGCGGTGACGACCATGCAGGCGGTGACGACCATGCAGGCGATGACGACCATGCGAGCGGTGACGACCATGAAAGCGGTGATGACCATGAAAGCGGTGACGACGATGGAGAAAGGGATGACGACGGAGAGAAATACAATTAAAAGTTATAATTTTTAAAGGTCACACTTTTATTGTGTTTTTACCGTTCGCTAATCGGTTATTCGTGTAGTAGCACTATTTTACAACAAAAAGGGTTATGGCAAAAATGTAATAATATATTATGAAAATAATAGGTCAGTGCAAAGTCATGTTAAGTAAAAATTGAAATCAGGAAAAACTAGTAGTTGCAACGACAATGGAAGCAATAATGGTGGGTTAGTTGGAAAAGGAAATAAAATGTGGTTTAAGTTCAAACCCGAGGCACGCGATAAAATAAATATTACCAGTAGAATAGTAAAAATGTCGAGAAATGTCTATCAATATTCTACTTCTTTGATTTGGCTAAATATAAATCTTCAGGGTAAATGCGTAAATGATAGTTCTCCTGAGAGCCAGCTCCCTGGCAAAATAGAAATGAGTCTAATTTAACTTTTACGTGGAAATTATTTCCTAAAAACTTGAAATTACATATATAATCGTACAGTAAATTAGAAATAAATGAAATTTTTATTTTCATTCCTTTTAGCACACGATTGTTTTCTTCACAGCTGTATTATATCAAAATAACACATTATCCATCAATATGTAGGTCATCCGCAAGAAACCTCATTAAACCCAACGAAACTTTAAATGAGATGTAAGCTATTTGATTTGTTTGTTGCATATCTGCAATATAAAACTCAACACAGGCACCTTATTTTTGCGAGAGCCAATATGCCTGCTGATGTTCATTTAATTTAAACCAGGACATGAATCGGATTGTACCAGCGAAGTTCCACAATACTAAGACGATAAATTTTATTTTCTGGGTATGAATTGATTTGTTCGAACAAAAGTCGACGTTCCCGTTTCAGGACAAAGTGTATTCTGGGAATACATAAATTTATTGTTTCTGTGTGATTTACTCAGGCATGATCCTGGTCTCTCTTATTAACTAAACGTAATTTATGTAGCCCAATTAGGTTTACGCATGAAAATTATTAGTTTTTTTTTGCACTTAATTGATTCGCTCACTTTTATGTCTTTATATGAACAAAACATTCCTCATTTGGAATCAAAGAAACAATTAAATATATTATATGAATAACAATATTATTTCAAGCTAATGTTATGAGAAATTTTATGTCATCACTCATAATTTCCACAATGACAAATATTTATCGAGGCTACGATAAATCCAATACCTCTATGTAGTCCAGTCCCTTTTGTAGTTGCATTCCCTTTTGTCGCAATAAAAGTACAGTCGAAATATCTAAAGATGTGAAAGATGTGAAAAAAACCTGATTTCAAGAACATAAAAATTGTTATAATCAACTATCTAGTTAATTTAACTTACAAGTCTAAAGCGCTTCAGTATGTCTACCAGAGTTCATCGGCTGAAACCCTAATTGCAATCCTTTTCTCGACAACTTTCCATGTTTACTAGCCGCTTGTCCCACTCACCTTTCTCTTGTAAGCTGAAATCGGTTTGCTGAGCTCCTTCCGCAAGTCAGGCGCTTCTCACGTCCTCCTCCCGCTTTGCATGAGAGGAAACAAACTCGCCAGGCAACAGACCCCGCCCCCAGGCGGCGCTCGTCGAGTTGAAGCTTTATGTATTGATGAATCACTGGACAGGCGTTCGCGCCGGGCGCCCCCCTGGCGCCAGCCCGACGCTCCCCACACTGCCCCCCTTCGCCCGCCATCCCTTCCGCCCGCTTCCCACGTCCCCCCCCCAAGCTCTCCTTCGGCTCACACTCCTCGACGCGGCCGTCGATCGCTCCGTTCCCATCCTAATACGTCCCGTACCACCCCCGCTCCACCATACGGCCACTCCATCCCACCCACGTATTCCAACATCTCCCAACCACGTCCGCCCACTCCCAACACGTCCGCCCATCACACGTCCCGCCACTCCAACACGTCGCCCACTCCCAACCACGTCCGCCACTCCAACCACGTCCGCCACTCCAACAACGTCCGCCCACTCCCAACCACGTCCGCCCACTCCCACCACGTCGCCCACTCCCAACACACGTCCGCCCACTCCCAACCACGTCCGCCACCAACCACGTCCGCCTCTAACACGTCCCCACTCACCACGTCCGCCCATCCCAACCACGTCCGCACCACCACTCCACCACTGTCCGCCACTCCCAACCACGTCCGCCGCACTCCAACCACGTCCGCGCCTCCCAACCACGTCCGCCCACTCCAACCACGTCCGCCCACTCCCAACCACGTCCGCTCCATCCAACTCCACTCCAACCACGTCGCCCACTCCCACCACGTCCGCCACTCCCAACCACGTCCGCGCGACTCCCAACACGTCCGCCCACTCCCAACCACGTCCGCCCACTCCCAACCACGTCCGCCCATCCAACCAC